ACAAGACAAAGCACCAAAACTGTTTCTAAGACAAGTTCGAGAAGATGGAACCGCGACCCATTATCTATGATGAGGTAAGAACCTTGGTATCGAGAAGATGCCACAATCAATTATGGAAGGGTTGATTGATAAATCGGCGATGAACGCCATGGATAATTCCAATAAATTTGAAAAGTTGTTCAAAGAACCAGAGAGAATTCATTCCTACAATGTTGGTGAATAATGATCTGTTTTACAATTAGGGTTGCAGCATTCCTTCATCCTAATCTGATGATATCCACTCTTTAAATCAATTTTAGAGAATATGCAAGAACCATGCAACTTATCTAACATGTCATCTAATCTAGGAATAGGGTGATGATACTTTACAGTGATTTTCTTGACCATGCAACAATCAACGCACATACGCCAAGTCCCATCCTTCTTAGGCACAAGTAGCACTGGAACTGCACATGGACTCATGCTTTCTCTCACATGTCCCTTTTTCATGAGTTCTTAGACCTGCCTTTGAAGTTCTTTCGTCTCTCATTGGGATTGCTTCGATATGCTGGTCGGTTTGGAATTGTTGCACCAGGAATGAAGTCAATTTGATGCTTGATTCCTCTTATTGGTGGTAAACCATTAGGAACATCATTTGGAAACACATCCCTGAAGTCCTGCAAAAGAGATTTAACAACACTAGGTAAAGAATCATTAAGTTCATTAGTGTTGAAATAAGCATCTTTATACAGAAGCACAAACATAGGCTGCTTTGCAAAGAACGCAGCCTTGACATCACTTTCTTTTGCAGAAACACTCACTGATTTTCTCTGTTTGTTTTCAACACTCTCGATCTTTTCTCTCTTTTTTAACTCTTTCTCTACTGTTTTTCATACCCTCAAGCTCACTCTCTTTTCTCAGCTTACTCTCTTTTTTCAGTCTCAGTTGATCCTCATAAACCTGCCTTGGACTCAATGGTGCAAGAGTAATTGTTTTCCGCTCCATGACAAATGAATAGCAATTTTTGAAGCCATCAAGTGTTACCCTCCTATCATATTGCCATGGTCTCCCTAAAAGTAAATGTCCAGCATGCATAGGAATCACGTCACAAAGTACCTCATCCTTATATCGTCCAATAGAGAATGAAACCAGAACTTGCTTATTTACCTTGTGATGGGAATCAAGATGACAGCATATCTACTACGTCATGTGATCCATTACACACCCAAGGAGGTCCAGTCACACGAGCTAGAGCTAAGAAGATGCATGAAGCTTTAAATGGCCTTATTGAGCAGATCTGGGTTGAAAACAACATACAACAAGCAAATCGAAGCTTGGATGATTATCAAGGCATGATAAATATCATTCAGGTTCAAGAGAAGCTTAATTGAGG